GAGCAGTTACGGGCATACTGACACTGCATGTGATCGTATTAGGAATACTATGTTCTCATAAGTAATGTATAAAGCAAAGCCTGACAGCTGCAGCTCATGCAAGACTGCAGCGCTCGAACCAGCAGGATGGGAGCTAGGAGATGGCACTCACAAAACTGGACGTAAAAGGGGAGTTGTTGAAGGGGGGTGAGAAGAGCATATGCATGTATTGTGGTTGGCCTCAGTCAGTGCTAATAATCTTTTCCATTCACAAGCATAAAAGAGTCAAGTATTCCCACCCCCCATTGCCATTTAAAAAAAAGTATCTGACCTAATTATTACTATCCCTGTTGTGTAAATTCAGCACTTTGTCAGTCTGAATAAATGTACATTAGCCTTAACATGAGTTAAACAAGTCTAAACAATGAAGCGAGCTTTATAAAGCTCCCTTGCTTTTAAACTTATTTGACACCACACTAAAGAGCCCGTTTAGACTAAAGAGTTCAGCACATTTTGGGACCCATTAAATATCCAGGTTGAGACTAGATATTCTCTTTTTCTTTTTTTAATTTGTCCTACTGAGTTTGCTAAAGTCAGCAGAATTGAGCAATAAGCTGCTTTGCATTTCTTTAGCGTTGTAGGCAAGTTGAAGAAAGCTACACCCATCCTGTTCAATGCTGCCTTTTCAAAGCTAATGACAAAAACCACTTATCACTGCAAACTGGATGTGAAGTGATTCCACAGAATTACTTTCAATTAAAAAAAAAAAAAAAGGAAACTCATGGCATAAAAATGTGACATTAGGAAAACTTGCACTGTTAAATTGTTTCTATTTTAAGCTTAATCTAACAACATATTCCATTCCAGAGTCAACATTCAACAGCCCACGGAAAAGCATTCCTCCTCGTGACTTCTGTTTACAAATTATACGGTACACTAATATGGTTATCTTGTGTCCGCCAAACATTATAAGATTAAGTCTTCAGACATTCTCATACAGTGGGGAAATATTTACATGGGAGAGAAGGGACCGAAAGACTGAACCATCTGTGCAAGGTCACAGGAGGAAGAGGGAAACATGTTCTTCACAGTAACATGGAAAAGAAACATACAGCTTGAGCGCTTTATGATCTCTGCTGTGGATAAAGCTCTTCTCTTTACCAGCTGCCCCATAGGTAGCAAAATAGCAATCCACTCACCTACAAGCTGAGGCTCCCGAGTCCATCCTGACTCACGCTGCCACCAGATGCTGGACTTGGCCTGGAAGACGAGGAAGGGTCAGTCAGGCGAGCCGGCCTGACGTAGCCCACGCAAACGACCTCAAAACCGGCACAGAGCAAGAGGACTGCAAAACCAGAGCGCTGGTCACCCTGATCATTCGGTGCTCTCTGCTATCCTGCTAATCGTTAGGTAACGTACTGACAGATTTCCATAAGCAGCAGAAATGAAGGAGGCAAATGAGAGGGAATAAGGGAAAAAATTGAAAAAAAGTTGTGGTGAAGCCTGACAGATGAATGCTTCAGCATGGAAAGCATGTTTTTCAGCACGTTTTTCACTAACTTATGTACTTAACTTTCGAGAAAAGCCTCTTAGAGAGGTCATGCTAACAAGCATTACACAAAGGTTGAATGGATGCTGGATCTGCTATGAAGAGCTGAATAGAAATGCTAGGGCAAAACTTTGAAAAGAGAATATCATTTTATGCAATGTCATGGGGAAATCGGTTCGTCCCTGAAAAAAATCTGTGGTCAATTTGCAAATTGAATTCTGTCACTGACCTGTAAGAGATATTTGAATCCACGTGAAGTTAAAAGCTTGACAAAACCACAGCTATGAAGTTGCTGGCAGTACCTCCGCAGTAACTGGGCAGGTGGATGGGTTTTTAGATTAAAATCCTGGCTTACAGACAAAATTCCCATCAACTACAGACGGATTGCAACTCGATCCTTTTGCTCATTTTGAAAGTTGGTCAAGTCGAAAACAGATAAAAACCCAACCCAATTCTAATTTCTAGCCGTCAGGAAGGAATTACATCAGCTCCATCTTACAGAAGGAAATCCGCGCTGCTAGCAGTAATCAGTTCCATGTTTGTGAAGCCTTCCAACAAAACATTTTTTGTCTGTGATTCGTATTCATCTTAGGACACACTGATTTCAGACCCTCTGTGGATTGTAATGTATAAACAGCCCTTTTATTTTTAGATGCAGCTAAGAAACTATTTGGCAGGGTCACCACAGTTCTGAATCTTGAGCAAAATATACCAACTGCAACTGGCGTCTAGGCTGCAAAGCAAGCAGGACAAGAGGACGCTTAAAGACAATGTTGTTCGTTCAGTTTTGCTAAGAATAGGACATTAATAAGAGATTTTTAATCTAACAAACATCATTTTTTAAAGGGAAAAACACTTTAAGCTTTTTTTGGTCAATCTGATAGGCATGTGATGATCTCATGGCATGGAAGTGGGAGACTGAAGCAGAGAAGTCGGGAAATTCCAATAAAATCTCCTAATCTTTTTAGCAAACCGGATGTATTTTCCCACTGTATGCCTCTCAAACTTTATTGCCGTTAGAGAGAAGTTGATTCTATGATGAGTGCTGAAAAGGCTGAGGGAGATGAAAACCTAAAACACCCTTACAGAATGAATTGTGTCCCTTGAAGTTTATTATTCACTCATTGAGTTTTACCAGCCAGCACGTTGTTAAATTCTAATCTCCCCAAAACAGAGACTGGTTCCTCTTGTTCACCTCTGCCTTCCCCTGGATGCTGGATGCGCTTCATCTTCTCTGAAGGATTTTATTCTCATATGCTAAAACATCAGGGCTGCTACCCCACCACGTGTCTCAGCAACGTTACAAGCCATTGTCTAATTTCAACCAAGATTCAGAGACGTAGAAGTCTTGAAGACACAACATTTTTAGAGAACTTGTGCCAAAAAAAAATGGCCAGGGATGAGACCTCCAACAGCAATGCCATTACAGAAGGATAGGTTGCTTCTCGAGTTCTGCAGCTACCTGCCAGCCGGCTGATCAGCACACACCTGCAGCTCAGCTCCTAGTTAAAAGACTCAGGAAGGAGCTGACAGTACCAGGAATGAGGTGAGTCAGGAGATGTGTAATAAAAGGAGATACTGGGAGGGACTAGGCATTAAAGCAGAGAGGTCACCTTTACTGCAATGCGTGGGAACCAAGAGAGAAATCCACCCCAAACTCACCTTTGCCAGCTCCAGGACTCCTGAGTATTCGGTGTGCAAGGTTCATTGTCCACCAGGAAGGGAAAAGCCATACAGTGTCAGCACCTCCAGTCATCTTCCCACTGAAGATGGCACAGGCCACCACCAATTGGTTTATCAGCTGCAGCAGTGCATCATAGCTGCTCGACAAGATCAGAGGCTAGGCAGCCTCACCAGGTCACCATGCCACATGCATCACCACAGGGGACAAGGAGAAAGCAAGAGCTTTCAGGATCTCCTATGAGGTTGCCTGAAATATCCTAAGTCTGTTTTGGTGTGATCAAGGAGTAAAACTGTAGTACTGACAACCAATACCAGGCTCACGTCCACTAAGTTTTAATGTATGGACATCCTGAATTTTTCAGTTTTACAGGTACAAATATTGAAAGTACTGAAAGCTGTGCAAGCGTGCAAAAGGACAAAAAGACAGATAATCTGCAGGACTGTAAAACAAAGTATATGGCTTTGCAATCCCTTTTCACTGGTGCATATCTGGGCCAGGTTTCATGACCAGCATCTGATTATTGGGCTAGGCGAAGGAAGCTGTTGAATTTCAGTCCAGTTCCCAGTGGGCAGGTTCCACATCACAAAAAAAATCTCACTATTATACAACTGACATTAATTGGATCCTTTTTATACTCTTCAGAAGAGAAGCCAAGGCTTCAGCTTCATGGAAACAGAACTAACTGTTCTGTGAACTCCTCAGACAGACACATGGATAACATGCTGTGGAGACTTATGGGGCATCTCAGAAATACAGAAACTTCTGTAACTTCTGCAGTCTTCAACTTTCACCAGCATTCAAATTCACCTACATTAAAATAAAATTGCTCTCCCCCACAAAAAGAAAACCACAACAAAGCAAGCATCCTCAAGCAAACTATTGCTTGAATCTATTAAAACTCGCCAAGTCAACGTTCCAGTCTCAACTGCCTAACCCAGGCTGCCAACAACAGAAGCGTCATTTTTTTGCTCTTCTATTTTACCCTAACAAAAGCCAATTGTGGTGCTGAATTGCATCACATGCCAACAGTATATCACATTCCTTCACAGCTGTTTTTTGCAAAGGGAAGGAAAAGACCTCATCCGCACTGACAACACTTCTATAAACCATAAACATTTTAAGAAATCCATCCACAAAGTCAGGATGGTAAACTGCCAAACAAAACCTTTCCTAACGAAGTGGCGTAGCAGAAACTATCAATTCCAGATAAAAACGTTACGTGTATATGAAGAATCAGTTCGCTAATAAAATCACAACAGTCATGAACTGATTTTAAAGGTCAAAAAAAAAGGCACTACTGTGCACCAGTGACCAGGAAAGGCTGTTACCAAGTGAGCAAACTGGATTTTACCTAACATATTATCAAGGAAAGGGAAGTAATATTGTGTATTATATTTCCTCATATTCTTTAGTAAAGTAACAACTGAGCCAAAAGCATTAAGTTAATTCCCCTTAAGATTTATAAGTGATCTAAATAAAAGAAAAATGCACTCCTACAAAATACTATTAGAAATTTAACATGTACTGTCAAAACAGAATTACACTTCAAATAAAGGCACTGCCACTGTATATCTTTTATTGCAGTAATTCATTATCTGTAACTAACAAATAATAAAGAATAATAATAAAGAAAAAAGAAATACAAGACAGGGAGAACAAAGCCGATTACTAGACATGCATATAAAATGTGACTAAGTGCTTCCTGGAAGCTCAAGTAAACCTCAAACTGTTTGATGTGATGTGTAGGTGCATTCACATCTTTGGAAAACAAAAATGCTTACCACCACATAAATTCTACAACAAGCCAATTTTTAATTATATCTATCAAAATAATAATAAAATCCCCACAGTTTCATTCAACATTTGAATCATGAAGACCACCCACGCAAGTATAAACACATTTGAATTTCCAATTAACTATTGCCAATTATAAATTGGGACACTTTTTTAAAAATAAATTATGAGGATAATTAATCATTTTCACACAAAAAAGTAACAATGTAACATCATGCAGTGGTTTTGAAAGCCTCCTTTTTTTGCCCTTCTATTCTGGTTAGTTTGAATCAAGATTATAAAAGCAGATTTTAATTTAAAAAGAGGAAGAAAGGAAGGTGAAAAGCTCCCAGCCTCCCCTCTGATCATGTCATGCAGATATTACTGGATTCAAATATTATTCAGCCTCAAAACTATTGCAATGCAACACTAACACTTTAAAAGGATTTCTGTGTTTGAAAAAGTCTAAGAACAAAAGGGCCAAAAAAAGTCCACGATAACACATGATGACTAAAATTAAGAAGTTATTCTGTTCTAATACTGGCAAAATGAACATTTGTATATCTGTTCAGCTTAACATGAAGTGTTATGGTTATATGACAACAGTAAATTTTATGCAACTCAAAGTTGCAAGGATAACAGGCATCAATATAGAAGCAAAACTGGTACCGTAGGAAAATATAACACACTTTGCATCTTTCTGTAACAAGAAATTAAGTCAAATAGTTGTTTTCTGTTAAGAATTTTATGTCAGAAAATAAAAAAATGTGTACTACAGATGTTCTGAAAGCAGCACATTTCAGTTGCCTGCAGAATGAGAGAAACGTTCACAGAAGCTAATTTCAGCCTTGAAGGGTTCCCTCCATCAGCTGCCAGTGGGTTTCTGACTCCTGTGACACTCATGCCAAATCCTTTCTCCTTAAGAAGCCAGTTCAGATCTGCCTGCCATTCTGTTCTGTTACAAGACATAATTTTCCCTCCCCCGTGCAAATGTTCATACTCTTCATTTAAGCTGAAAAGCCTGAATTCAGGTCAGAATGGCAAATTCCTCCTCTGACATGCACACAGAACCTCACTGTTTCAACAGAAGAGGAAGGAAGCTCATGCTTTTGTTCTTCTCTATTATGAACCTCTAACAAAAGTAGGACAGCTTAGACCTGATGCTTTCAACTTTAAAACAAACAAACATCACTAACAACAAAATCCCTAAGCTTTTTGGGGAAAAATAGCCATGTAATTATGGACCCATATTTATATATAATGATCTACAAGTATATATCCTGTTAGTAAAAGCAAACTACAATAATATGTACAATAAGAATATTTTACAAACATTTCGAAGATGGCTACGCTTTCCTATATTCCATCAAGAGGTACATTACTTGAAAATGTACCTCCAGAACGTTTAAGAAATGCATACTCGTTCTATTGAGGGCCCAGGTAGCTAGCAAAACAAACAAAGTATTATTGCTCTTCTTATTGTCAGAAAGTTTCAAAAAGTTTAGATTTCTGGACTACCAGAATGAAAACTGCAATTACAGCTTCAGCAAATATCAATAGCAGGTAACATTAGGCAGATCCTCCTAGCCTCTCTCTCCACTACTGAGGACACTGTCTAGTGTCCTCACTAGAGTGACAGCATCAACCCAGGGGAGAAAAAAAAAAAAATCAATTTTATGTAAATAATCTCTCATTTTACAATGAGGTTTCCTCATAGAACACAGATTTTGATCATCTATCTCTTATTTAATAGAAGCTGCAACTGACACAAGCTCATTAGCTATTCACAGGTTTATAAACAACTTGCAAACTGAATAATTCCAGATAACATCAGATTACAACAGATGTTCTTTATCAGAGTTGTACAGAAAAAGCCTTGGGGAAGGAAAGTAGTAATGAACGTTACAATCAGGCACATCATTGTTTCAGAAATAGTATGCTGTGTGAGTAATCCAGTTGGAACACTCTTCCTTTGAGCGTTTTGCTGAGCTGTGTGATGTAAAAATAGATTTGTACGCCTCAGATTTCTCCTCACTGTCTGCAATGGATCTCTTCGTGGTACTGGAAGAACCTTTATTGACTTTTCCTGGTACAGATGAACTTCCATTATCTGCTAAAGAAAAAGCAATAAAATGAAGCATGCATAACAACCTACAATTGACAAATGCATTTAAATCAAAATTGATAAATCAAAGTAGTTAAAAAATAATGTGTACAGGAATGAAGTATATAAATTTATTCAAGACTGACTCTCACAAACATTTCTCATAATGGAACTAAAAAGAAAACATGTTCCTAGCTTAGAGAATTTGCTCTCAAAATGCATTATGGAAATCTTGGCGAGATTCTTTCCTGCTTGTGGAAACTCCTTGCACTGCAATTCAGTACTGACAACATTTATTCCTTTATGTCAGAAATGGCTCCGAACTCCAGTCTTAAGAAAGAAACATGAAAGCATTCCACCACCCTGAACTATTGTTTGAAAATTAGCTATCAAATGACAAAAGCTAAACTTGTGACATGCTATCCTCAGGGAATCTATCTACTCCCTTTATTCTTTGCAAAGTCATTTATAAGCAATAACAATGGTCTCCATCATTTTATATTTGGGACAGGAAAATGCCCATCCCATTGTTTCTGATGCCATCTCTCTCAGTGTTTTTATCTACTGCTATATAAAAAAGAAACCCTGTTTCTTACAAACTACTTAATCTTCTCCAAAGTAAAAGGACAGTATTTTTAAAAGTACATGCCATGTCTCTTGAGCAAAGACACAAATACACAGAAGTCTGCAGAAACTCTATACATTTAGCATAATTCAGGCACAACTGCATGGAAATAGCTAGTAGGGGGCCTGTCTGAAAATGCACTTAACTGATTTGTGCACGCAGTCATGGGAATTGCATGCATAATCGTTAAGTCATAAAGAATCATAACCTTTTTTATCTTTGGAGAATGTTGTTCTTAATGCCACTTATCTGTGTCTGTAAAGAATTATCAAACTTTGGATTAGAAAGAATTAATATGTGTACTGGAAGCCCAGAAACCTTAGGGTGCCATGTTCACAAATTAATTCCTATGCTACTTGCATTCCACTGCCCATCTCCTCCTCTCTCCATGGATTTTTCTTTATTTCCCCTCTCTCCTCCTTTTTCCCTGCCAGTTTAGCAACACAACAGCTGTCAGAAACATAAGCCAATGACCTGACATGTCAAAAGGGATATTTTTTCCTTCACATAACACTCTTGTAAAAGAAAAATGTCAAGCATTACTAGAATCACTATGTTCCTAAGCACCTATAAGCAATTATAATAATCTTGAATGAAATATTTTTAAAATAAAAAGACAGACAAGTTTTATTGTATTTTTTAAATAAAACCAGACAGTAGGTGGAAGGTAAGACATTTCTAATGGAAATTCTCTCAGCTTCTCAGATAGTTTATAGGAAGTTTATCATTTTACTATTCTTAAACTCTTCAAATAAATTGTATAGCCTTCTTCTGTGCTTATAACGCACACAATTGAGTACTTCACCATGAAACTCTGAGTTTCACTGAATTCACTGAATTTTTACTGCTCTGGACGAAAGCGTCAGTAGGAATTGGAGACACGCAGATATTACGTAATATGTATTACCTAAAGAGATGGCACCATCATTAGACTAAAAGACAGCCATGTTTAATCATAGTTGCATGACTACTGTAGATATATCAGCACATCCTGCAGTTATATTCCACTGCTAACAGTGACACACAGCACATCAGTAGCTAAAATGGTGCACTAAAAATAAAGTCATTAGCTTGGGACGTTTTAACGCACTTCATTGAACTAGACTGCCAAAAAAGATTTTTTGCCCATCCTCATTTGTACTTAAAACAAACTACTAATTCTCCTAATCTACCTTCTTACCAATAAAACAAATACACCAACCCCCTGACTATCGGTACCAGTAAAAATCTCTTTCCCCATCAACTTAAAGCACAGCAGTACTGGAATGACAGATAAACAAGTCTGCCTTGTCTCACAGTGGAAGAAAATGCTGTACTGAGAAGTGTCTATGGTTTTTATTAGTTTTCTCTGATACTGCAGCATTTGCAAGTTATAAACAGGAGCAAATATCCTGTTTTAAGTGTTTTATGAAAGGAAAACAAAAAGGCAGTCCCTACTCTGTGCAGCATTTAATCAAAGTATAGGACAAAGGATACCAGCTGGGACACAGGCAAACAGGGGGAGAATATGGAATATCTGACAAAAAGTATTCCTTGCACACTTCCAGCATAATCAATTTTGTTGATTTTGGAGATACTAAAGCAAAGCTCTTTTTTTAAGAGAAAGTTAAAGCTGAAAGGATACACTAAAAGCAAAAGAATACACAAGGAACAGTAATGTGGTTAAAATGAAAAGCAGCCTTTAACTTCTTTTTTAAGTGGGAGAGACTAAAGCAAATAATTTAAAAAAAACTCTTAAATGTTAGTGTTCTCCAGACCCAATTCATGGTGTTTAATCAGTTTCAGAATGAAGTTATGTAAGTCAGTAAATAAGAATCAAAAAGGAAATTCCTTCTGTGTTCTCATAGCTGTGCTCATGTGTACAAAGATTACACTCAAAACATACCTATGCATTTGCAAAGTTCTAGCCTGAGAAGTTCTTCACGCAAACTGTGGTACCATAACACAATTTTGGTCATAAAGAGAGAGAGTGATAGGGTAGCTTCTGAAAATTCTAGTATACAGTAGCCAGAAAAGGATCTTTCTTACAATATTTTTCAAAGCAGAACCATTTGTTAACTTTTTCACAGTTAGATCGAAGTATAAACACCAACCTGAGCTTTTGGTGAATATAATCTGCCTCTTTTCTCTAGAAGTGGAATTGATACAATCTTTTCCATTCTTAACCTTTGATGGACCTGGAGACTCTATAAGAGAAAAAAGTGAAATCATGAATCTGTTTAATGACTCAGAAGGGCACACATAATTTGCAGCTGTGAAATTACCTTCACTGGTATCTTGCTGAGAAGTTGATTCTGCTGACTTGCATTTCTTTGATTTCTGAAACAATACAAGCAGAAAACTGGTAATATACTGAAAAGATACACAATGCCAAAATTGGAGCTGCGTGTCTATCAAATACATTTGCTGCTTTTTGTTTTTTATGCAGTGGAACTATATCTTCCATAATACTTCTCCACACATTTGAAACTATTTCCCTGTGGAAAGATAATAACCTTGGAAACAATGAAGACACCTTAAAGACAAGCGCCCAGGCTGAAATTAAGCTGTCTGAACGCGATATTTTGGTCTGTACCCCTCTTTTTTTTTTTAATCGTTAAGATAATCTGATATTCTGAACTGACGTGGCAGGACACTAAACTGTAAGACATTAAACAGGACACAGATACCTGTAGTCAATAAAGACAGTTTAAAATAAAAATCTTTTGCTTGCTTGCTTGTGAAGAAAAGGTGCATAGAATAGTTAATGTGGATTTTTTAAAACCATCTGCGGACCAGATTTTCCAAGTCCATTTATGTGTGTCCAAGTTAAAACAAACAAACACACACACACACACACATATATATATATAAAATAACCAGCAGCAACAACAGGAATCCCATTACTGCCCTTGATTATGTAAAACACCTTATTGAAAAAGATGTATTAAAACAGCCACTGGCATTATCATCACAAAAGCTGATTCAGTACACATGCAGAATGGTGTACATATTTCAAAAAGGCTGCACAAATTCAATGAAAATAAATATCTTAAATATCTTTTATGAACTAGAGGAATCCATGCTGTCAAGAGTATGATTAATCCTGAGGAAACAAATGCTATATCATGTTATTGCAGAGCTTAGCCAGAAGATGGTGGTAGAGGGTTACTAGTCTAAAAGCAGACTTGGCTCTCCTGGTGTTCTTGAGCGTATATGAAAAACCTGTTGGTACCATGGACAGGTTTGTTAAGAAAAGTTACCTTCTAGCATCTAGTATCTGAATTATGAGGCATTTGCAGACATATATATATATATATGTATGTATGCATGCATATATTATATCTATTTAACTACATGGAATATATAACACATTTGAACTTGAATAATTTTTTATGCTAGTGATGGCTATACCGTCCTTATGCTTTGTCTCATGGTCATAAAGAAAAGGAATTTGCATTTCCTGCTCCAGCTACAGTAGGTCCACTTAGACTGTTCCCCTAGTTGAAAGGGGAAGATGAGGAAGAAGTCTGAACAGCAGCACCAGCAGAGCCAAAACCAGAGATTGTCCTCTGGTACGGGGGCTGGAGCTGACAGATCTCAGATTAGAACAAATCGTGGCACTGACAGCAGTGAAGACTGGTTCTAGTTGCACAAAGATCACTTGGTGCAGCAAGGGAAGGCAGTACTGCAAAAGGCACCAGAACTTGAGGACAAAATACACAAGTCCTGCTAAGAGATTAACCAAAAAAAGGTTC